GTCCCGAGCGCGCGGTGGCTGCCGGGCTGCTGCAGGCGATCCGTTGTTTGCAGTGTCACTACAGCTGCTGCGGTTTTTCTTTGTTTTGCTTTTTTCTTTTTCAGAAATGTTCCAATGAATGTGAAAACAAATGCTCCGAAGCTGAATGCAGAAATCCACACAGTGAGGGCGCACTGGAGCAGCAGCAGCAGCGGCAAGAGCAGCAGCAGCAGCGCCGCTGCCGCAGGGGAGCCCCCCCCTGCTGCTGCTGCTGCTGCTGCTGCTGCTGTTACTTGGGAAATAGTATCCTGGGGGAAACTGGCTAAGGGGGACAGCTGCCTGACAGGCAAAGTTGACACCTCCACCCCAATAGACATTTCTGTCCGCGGCATTGAGTATGCCTAGTTTGCTGCTGAGCCATTCAAGTGGCAGAAGCAGCAGTAAAAACAGAGCAGCAGCAGCAGCAGCAGCAGGGCGTCCAAAGGCCGCTGAAAGGAGCGCCGGCACTGCTGCTGCTGCTGCTGCAGTCGTCGCTCCCAAAGACAATGAGGGATTTTTTCGGCCCGTAAGACATTTCTTTGCATGCAAGCTGCAGGGCCCTATAAGTATTTAGCGGGACAGTTGAATTGCAGCACAGGTCACAGCAGCAGCAGCTGCTGCTGCTGCTGCAGGTATTGCTGCAGCAGCTGCGTGCAGCTTTTGCTGCTTAGATTAGACCCCGGCCGCGGCCACTGCGGACAGAAACGCAATTTTAAATTTGCGGCTTGGGGCTGCACCGCTGCAGCTAGGGGTGGCGAAAGTAAATAAAACTGTTGAGGAATTAGGCCTAAAAATAGTAGAACTGTTGAGGAATTAAGTCTAAAAACAGTAAAACTGTTCAGGATTTAATAGACGAATGGAGTTTTTAATTTTAAATTCGGGAGAAAGTCCAGAAAATTATATTCAGTTCCGTTCATTACCGCGAAAATGGGGTGTATGCGCAGCTTCCGCTGCGGCCGCTGGCGCAGCGCGGCGATCTGCTGCTATCTGAGGCGCCAAAAGATTTAAAAGTTCGCCAAAAATATATTTTAGTTTAATTTACTTAAATGAGAATGTGGAGGGCGTCAGTTTTGGTGTTCTTGGGTGCCTCCGTGGCGCATTCGGAATTTCTGGCTGAGAGGCTGCAGCAGCACCGGATGGGGCGCAGACAGCCGCAGCTGGACTTGAACGAAAACTCGAATTTGGAAAGTTTTGAATTAACTCCCCAGTTCATTCAAAAGGGGGAAAGCAAGAAGACGCAAATGCGGGAGTGCGGCGACGGTAAGCAGCAGCAGCAGCAGCAGCAGCTGCTGCTGCTGCAGCCCAAACTCTTTCGAAACGCAACACCCGAAGTAATTCTTTTTCAACACTTTAGGCCACAAAGGACTGCTGACGATGGCAGTAGACAATTCGGAGCCTGAGGCAGCAGTGCTGGTGCATGCGCAGTTGTCAAGAAGTGCTTTTGCAGCTTTCACTGGGGCGGTGGGTCCTTCAAAAGAGGCGCAAGGGGCCTTCAAATGGACCTTTTTTTGGACCTTTTTTGTTTTTTTATTCTTTGCAGACTCTTGAGAAAGAATTTAAACTCAAAGATGTTCAAATTCCCCTCGAAACCGTCGACGACCGCTGCTTCCTCGTGAAGTTGACCAAAGATTTCGGCACTGTCTTTTGCGCCAGGTGAGCCCCTCAGCTTACTCCGTTCAATTGATTTAATTAATTTAATTGATTTAATTAATTTAACTAATTTAAAATTGATTTAATTCATTTGAACTGAAAGTTCAAATTAATTCACTTTCAATCTTGCTCTCAGAAATCTGCACAGCCGAAACGAGTGGATGAATTACCTCCACGAAGCAATTCTTTGCGAAGAAACTGGAGTGGTATTTAACCTTTTGAAAACAAACAAAATAATTAATTAATTAATTAATTAATTAAATTAATTAATTTAATAATTAAATTAATCAAGCTAATTAGATAAATCAAAAGAAATTGAAAATGAAAATTCACACTTTGCTGCAGAAGGGCAAACTGCCCGCAGAAGCTGGAGAGGAAATGTGGGCCAAATTATTTCGCTGAGTTCAAATTTGAATTTAAATAAAACTTTGAAGTAAATGCTGTGGCCATTCTTGTTCTCAACATTCTTATCAATATTACTATTAATATTATTATTATTATAAATGTTATTTTATTATTATTATTATTGTTACTATTATTGTTCTTATTGTCATTATTATTGTTATTACTATTGTTATTTCTATTGTTCTAACACCTATAAAGTGTGATATACATATATATGCACATTTATACATATATATATATGCATATATATAATATATATATATGTATATAATATATATATGTTGCTATATACATATATATGCATGCATATGTGCATGCAAAAGCTTCACCTAAAGCAAATTGGTTTGCTGAAGTTGCACTTTGAATTAAATGATTTAATTCTTTTGCTGCATGCAGGGAAAAAGAAGAAGCCCTCGAGCAAAGAGTGCCTGTGGCGGAGCCCAGCGGAATAAACATTCATTTGTAACTGAAGATGCATTTTGAAGAGTTTAAAGAGATAAAAAGAAGCATTTAATTGCAAAAACTTTGCAAAGAATGAATTAAATGCATTTAATTGCAAGAACTTCGCAAAAAATGAATTAAATGGTCCATTTAAATCACTTTGTTCATTCAAACCACTTGCAGAGAAGACAGCCCGCTGGGAAAGCCCCAAGTTCTCGTTAATGGTGTTACAGTGAAGGTCCGAAAAATAAATTTGAAATGAAACTTTTCAAGTCCAAAAACTTGTTCTTCCCCCCTTTGCGGTGTATGTACAGGAAATGGAAGGCATTCAACGAGTACGGCTTTTTAAAATTCATTTCAATTTAATTTAATTTAATTTAATTTAATTTCTTTTCATTCACTTCCCCTGCAGGCTCAAGCCGTGCGAGAGTGAGGCTCCCGGCGCGTGCGATCTCGGGGTTTCGAGCACTAGAATGAATAAATAAATTATATTTTTCCGTTTTAAATTATTTATTTTTTATTTTATTATTTTCTTATTTTTATTCTGCAGTGTCACTCCCCGGCCCCCCTCCCCGAGCATCTTTGAATTTCCAAATCCGGCTGTCTCGGTGCGGCCGCTGGACCCTGCGGCGCTGGGGGCTGAGGGGGAAGCCAAGACGGCGGAAAGTGGGGGAAACTTCATCAAATTTGTTTCAATTAAATTTAATTAAATTAAATTAAATTAAATTAAATTAAATTTCGAATTTAAAGTCTTACTTATCTCCCTTTCCCCCGTCGGTGCCGCATGCAGCCATTCAAGCCATCAACGAAGCGGCCGCAGAGCAGCGCCGCCTCACCCTGAAGGACCCCCGCGTGCCTCAACACGGATTTGCGAAAATGTCGATGCAATAAATAAATAAGACAAATAAATAAAAACAAATAAATAAAATAAATGAATAAAAACAAATAAATGAAAAATAATTCAAACTGTTTCCACCTTCGCGAGCCCGCGCTCACGAGCAGGCCAAGCAGCCCGCCCGCGGGTGACCACTGGTCACCCGCCCCCGGTCCTTCGCCGGAGGGGCCCCCAGCGCGCGCGAATCCGTTTTTTTTCTATTTTCTGAATTAATTATCCATTAAAGTGCAAAAAAGGGAAATAAATCCACTTATTTCTGTATTTCCGCGCCCCTGGCCTGCAGAACGAGCGGCGCGGCCGCCCGCGACCAGTGGACCACCGGTGGTCCACTGGTCACTCCAGGCCCCGCTGCTGCTCGCGCGGCTCCCGGTGCAGCACCTGCAGCAGCAAATAGTTCTTCCAGGGGCCTATCCTGCGGCCCAGCGGCTGCAGCCGCACCACATCGCCCAGCGCCGCGGCCCCACACTCGTCGTGGGCCCAGACCTTCTTTGTGTAGCGGAAGGTCTTCTTGTAGCGCGCCACGTACATGTACCTGCAGCAGCAGCGGACCACTGGTCACCTGCTGCAGCAGCAGCAGCAGCAGCAGCAGCAGCAGCAGCAGCTCTCACCTGTCACAAGCCACGCGGATGGACTTGGGGTGTTTGTCGTTTATGACATATCCGATGAGCTCGTTGTTGGGCAGTTTGTTTTTCATGACTGCAAACACGAAGCAAAAAAGAAATTAAAATTAAATTAAATTAAATCAAAAATAGAGAAACAGTCAAATCAATTGCCCATTTACTTCCAATAATTGATGACAACTGGCCAATTTAATTTTAGATTTGAAAAGAAACAAAACGAGCGGCGAAGTGCATGCAGTCTTGGGGTGTACGTACACGGCGAGCTCAGGGGCTGCCGTCTGGTCCATTTTGGGACTATTTGGAAGCGGAAAAGAATTAAATTGTTCTCTAATTGCAATAAGAATTAAAATTGGACATAAAGTGGCATTTAATTGATTAATTTTCGCAGCTTCGAACTCACAAGTGCGCAAATAACCCGCAGTCGACCGCTGCCAGGCCTTGTAGTGCCAGTGCTGCAGCGCTGCTGTCAGCCTCAGCATTTTTCCAATTTGCTGCAGTTCTTTTTCGTTTTTCTCACTTCCATTTGTCGACAAGGCCAATTATTTGATTTAACTCTTTTCAATTTACCATTTCTTTGCTGTTTTCCGCGTTTTCCGGGAAAAACGGGGGCAGCTGGCTGAAGAGAAGGCGCTGCGGCTCGGGCGGCGGGTCTCGGTGAGATCTGCTGCGTGTTCGACGCAATAAGCAAAAAAGAAATGAAATAAATCAAAAGCAATTCAAATTGACCATTTAAATGCAAAACGAATGCAAAAGACCCGAAGTTTCCCTGTTGTTCAAGTTATGCCAGCCCCAGCGCATGCAAGCGCGGATCCGCTTGGCCTGCTGCTCCAAAAAAAGACTAATAAGCCACTTCGCTGCACTTTGTTTGAATTCGTGAACTTGAATTATTTACTTTTATTCATTTGTTTCTTATTAAAGCAAAATGGGCCCCGCAGACTCCCGCGAGGAACCCCTCAGCTGTGCAACACTGCATGCGCTCGCAGCCGATCTGCACAAACCCCCAAACTTTGCGGATTGACGCCGCATCCGAGTTCAAAAAGTGTAATTAAATTAAATTCAATTGTTATTTCTAACTGAATTGCATTTGTTGCAGCAAAAGAAACGAAAAAGCTCTCGTCTTGAAAACGTGAACATGTTTCGGGTGTACAGACAGTGCACTCGCGCATGCATTTTGTCCGCGTGACGAATTCGCGTGCTTTGTTTGCATTAAAGTTAATCTGGAAACTGTAATTAGATCAATTCTTTTTAATTAAAGCAATTTAATCCTTTTACAGCTTAGCAGCAGCTGCTGCTGCCCCTGAACAGCCCCTGGTGAAACGTACGCGTCAGCAACTGCAGCAGCAGCCGCAACTGCAGCAGAGGCGAAAGCAACTGCAGCAGGAGCAGCAGCAACTGCAGCAGGAGCAGCGGCAACTGCAGCAGGAGCAGCGGCAACTGCAGCAGGAGCAGCAGCAACTGCAGCAGGAGCAGCAGCAACTGCAGCAGGAGCAGCGGCAACTGCAGCAGGAGCAGCAGCAACTGCAGCAGGAGCAGCAGCAACTGCAGCAGGAGCAGCAGCAACTGCAGCAGGAGCAGCAGCAACTGCAGCAGGAGCAGCAGCAACTGCAGCAGGAGCAGCGGCAACTGCAGCAGGAGCAGCAGCAACTGCAGCAGGAGCAGCAGCAACTGCAGCAGGAGCAGCAGCAACTGCAGCAGGAGCAGCAGCAACTGCAGCAGGAGCAGCAGCAACTGCACCAAGGAAGCACGCGGGTGCATGCACAGATGTTCGAGCCACAGCGAACCCCACAAAGGCAAATGCCGCTCAGTAGAATTTCTTGCAGCAGCAGCAGCAGCTGCTGCTGCAGCAGCAGCAGCAGCTGCTGCTGCTGCTGTTACTGCGGCTGCTTTTGTCGTTGCTGCCGCCGTTGCTGCTGCTGCTGCTCTCGCTCTCGCTGTTGCTGCGTCTGCTGTTGCTGCTGCTATTGTTGCCGCTGCGATTGTTGCTGCTGCTGCCGCTGCTATTGCTGCTGTCGCTGCTGCTGCTGCTGCTGCTTAAGAGCAACAGTCTCAGCAGATAAAAGTTCGAAGTAAAGCTGCTGCAGATAATCCCCTGGCATTAAAGCAGAAGCACAAAACTTTTTTTGTTTAAAGCAGCAAACGAAGCAGCAAATGGAAATAACAAATAACATCAGTTCTGTTGGATTAAATCTAAACAAGCCAAGCAGCAGCAACGGCAGCAGCAACAGCAGCAGCAACAGCAGCAGCAGCAGCAACGGCAACAGCAGCAAGAACCGGAAAGTGTTTTTTTCTAATTCGTGCCAACAGCCTTCAAAGCCGCTTCTTTTAATTGAATTAAATATTTAGAAATAGAAAATAAATTATCAAATCTAAAAAAATTAGATATAAAATGATTTTTAATTCCACTTTTTCGTTTCTGGCAGCTGCCGTCAGGTGTACAGACAGCTCGCCGCTGCTGCTTGACCGGCGAGGAGCAGCAGCAAAAAGGAAATGAATTTTAAATTAAAATAAAACTATTTAAAAGCCAATT